GATATAATCTGGAATAACACATAGGTTAGGCTTGTCCTACGGGAACGCGGGCGTAGCTGCGAGCAGAAGCTAGTCTGTTATATGGGACTCTTACTACACTATGTTCACTTCTGCCTGTCCCTTCGATAAATAAATAATTTATGAGTTAGAACAATACACAGCACCAAATAAGTGAGACAGTAATGCGTTATGAAGCCAAAAGCGTTACCTGCATGTTGCAATTATACTTTGAAAGTGGATTATATTAAGTTACTGAAAACTGATATCCAGCAGTAAATAGAACTGTGTATTAAGAAACTAATGCTGTCATGTCATGCATATTATTTGATAATAGTAATTGTGTTATCTGAGACTTAAATCAAGGCTGTATATTTGTCTAGGATTTCTAAACAGATCAATATATTTATACTTTCTCTAATAATTCTTTTGAGATTATCTAATTTAGTTAGTTTTCTATTAGGATTCACCTCAAAGTCAAGTCAAAATCATTTATTTCAATTAGACCAGGAAGGCACTTTTGAACGTCAACAAAAAAAATTAGAAATGATGCTATTTGCTCATTCCAAGGTGTAGATTCTTATGAAGAAGAACGAGCAAGAAGCTCCATAGGTTACTCTTTTTCAATCAGGTTCACAATACAATTCTCTAGTTACAAAGTTTTGTTGTTTGGATTGTACGAGAACAATGTAACACTAAAATACAGATTGACTAGAAAACAAATTGTTTCAGGACTACAAATAGTTTTTCCAATACTAATCTTAAATGATAAGACTGGGCAAGCTGGCCGCGTCCTATAATCCTTGTTAAACGTCTACTTAAACATTTTTTTAAGAAAGCCCTCCTTCATACATTGTTAAAATAAAATACAAAGTCAGCAAGAAGTAACAAATCCATATCTTTCTCCCCAGGTCGCGGCGGCAGCAACATAAAGGATATAGAGAAGATTTCAGGCGCTAAAGTGAACGTCAAGGAGTTTAGCGATAAGGACCATGATATCTGTGTGATTAGAGGCCGGACTGACGCCACGCAGATTGCTGAAACTCTCATCCATGAATTCATAAACCAACAGCCTTTGAATATCGAAGATACGATGGAAGTACCATCGTGGGCTTGTGGCAGGATCATCGGTGAGTAGTCAACGGTTTTGTCTGTAATACTTACATTGGGCTTGAGAACTGTATACTACAGTGATGATAATGAATTAGGATGGGGTGTTTCTTTTTATGGCATGAGCCGGTTAGCGAGCAGACGGATCACCTGATGGTAAGCAGTCGGCGTAGCCCATGGAAACCTGGAACACCAAGGCGTTACAAGTGCGTTATCGGCCTTTTGGGAATTGGGAATTTGAGGTTTGTGGAGGATTCGGGGATTGGGAAGACTGGGGAGGGTCGGTAATTGGGCTACAACACAACGTAAGCGTTGTGTCACGTCGGTTTTCTGTGACGCCGTGGTATCACTCCGGTCGAGCCGGCCCATTCGTGCCGAAGCATGGCTCTCCCACACTTAAACTTAAATAATAAAGGTGTGATGTATATGTGAATATGTGAACTTGTATTTTTCTAAAGACAACCACGACACAGGAGGTAGCCCTAGTGCGGGGCAAAATTAAAAAATAACCGCATAAGATTTAGTGACAACGATTATTGTCAACGTGATTGTGATCTTCAGTGTTTTCTGAAAAATGTTACCAGAAAGATTTTGGTAACATTTTTCAGAAAATATAATAAAAATCTGGTGCCCTGGTGATGCTTTAAAATGATTCATTAGAATATTAGCAAACATTCTGTTGGTCATAGCATAATGCATTTTCTTCTTCTATCTTTCTCTTCTATATTGGTTGGCGCGGTGGCTGGGCAACCGGCTGCCGCGCAGTGTGTCGCGGTTTCGATTCCCGCACGCAACAACTCTTTGTGTGATCCACAAAATGTTGTTTCGAGTCTGGAGACAGTCTCATCTACAAACTTATTACTTTTATGGAAGTGAATAAAATTATGTGTAGCTAAATATATAACCTTTTTTGTCACCAGGATCTCAGGGCGAGAATATAAACAGCATAAGCCACCGCAGCGGTGCCCGCATTAAGATCTCCTCGAACGGTGACAAGACAACTATACGGAAAGTTACGTTCTTGGGCACAGAGGAGCAGATCAAAGTTGCTAAAGACCTCATTGAGAACTGCGTAAGTTGAAATTTTTGTAACTCACTTCTGTTTGTGAATTTATACAACATGTAACTTAAATAACGCACATCCTTAAAATAGTTTGTTCAGAATCGTTAACCGAATCGATTTATATAATTTTTAGTATAGGCAATATTTTATCCCAAAAATAATTAAAACTACGGAAATTATTGTCATATTAACCCTGTATTGTTAAAATAAATCGAAATGGACCGTAAGTCAAAGCAATACGACTTTTAAAATCGCAGTTTTATTTGTATTCATACAAATTCTATCATTCAATACAAAATAAAGAAAAATAAACCTTATGACAAGACCAGTAAGGATGCAAATACATGTTAAATTAAAAATTTAGTGTATGTATTATGATTATAAAGTAATATTCTAATTGGGGTGTTTGAGGGTGTGCGTTAATTACGTTACATGTTGTATTGGAGCTTGTGTCAAAATTGTAGTGTCCGAATCTATCGTCATACGTCTTTCAGACAGCCATTGACGTGAATTCACGTAGTTTAAAACGTGCCTACATTAATTCGTGTAATAGGGTAGACGACTAATTTTATTTTAATGTCCGTCTGGTAGATTATTTAAAAACATTAGGCACGTATTTTGTATTTTCTTACGGAAATAAATAGTGTCGATGATATATTGATTTGAAATATCGCATTGCATTGTCACTTTAGTATTTAGTACGATTTATACTTTAAAATGACGTAGCTACCTCTCACTCCGAAACTTTGATTCGTTTTATCTAAGTATTTTTTTCTTATACGACAAAATAACAAAATACGTGTCTAATATTTTTTCACCAATATTTTCACCCAACTGACTAGATTTTTAATTTTCATACCCTGTCATCATCCCTATTAATTCTATTTACAGGTCGCCCAAGAGAAATGTCGCCGGGAAATCGAGCAATCGAAACGTAGTCCGCGCCACGTACAGTCGTCATCCAAATCACCATCACCAACGCCCTCTGCGAACGCGAACGAAAACAACGATGATGCGTCAGGTGACTCTCAAGTGCAAAGGCATGTCAAATATAAGCGGCCTGGTAAGATTTGCTAACAGCATGCTTTATATTACTGTCCTTAGAGTAATTTTAATCTTTGTAACAATTAAGTTGCCCGATTAGTGGAGCAACTGTTTAGTAACTGTTGATCAACTTTACTTCAATAAATCTTAGAACGAAACTGGAGGCTTATCCCGAATTTGTTTCACGTTAAAAGTAATCGAAACGAGCCTGCCTTCGGTGCTCCGATTGGTTAGTTATTTGCAGCCGGCCAATCAGAGCGCCGAACACGTACTCATTTGAAACAAACGTATAATAAGGCCTCTGAAATAGATTTTCCCTCTCGAACCACAATTTAGACTTGTAATTTTAGTTTTGTTTTTTTTTTTTAGTTTTTGTTCTTTTTTTACAAGATCTATATTTACGGCACTTTTCTGCGGCATTCTCAAATACGTGGAGTTTTCAATGTATTACAGAGATGTAGACACGTCTAATCGAGAAAATTGTAAGAAAACGAAACTTCTACTTAGAGGACAGTATTAAATATATATTTATTGCTATGTTTGCTATATTTTGGCACCTGGTTTGGTCTATAAGCCTGTGAGTATGACTCACTATTGCCAGGATTTCCCTTCCAATTTGTAAAGTTAGTACTAACAAATCCAACCTGAGTACTATTTATACCAGTGGTGGGCAAACTTTATGAGAGGCCAAAGTGACAATAATTTCAGGGGAGGGACAAAATTCACTTTGAAATTTATAATTTTTGCAGTGCCAGCAAGTCTTATGAAAGGACCATAGAGATTACTATTGTGCCATAATTTACCTTCATATTTTGCCAACCGGCCATAATTTGCCTACCACTGATGGCCACAATATATTGCCGTGTGACATGCACTGGTGTGACGTGAAGTATATAATTATATGTTTAGTTATTTATATGTGTGTTGTTTTGTGATGTCACGTGCCGTTTGTGTGGGGTAGACAGAAGGGTACAATATTTTGTATTTTTTGAGATGAAGGTGGAATAAGGTGATAGAATTTTGTTTTTTTTTGGATTTATTGGTTTTGTTCATGACTGCAAATGCCAGACATTTTTGGTGGTTCGGGTTTTTTTTTAATTTTATTAAGCATGAGTTAGAGTGTTTCATATCATGTGGTATTGTCGAAAAAAGGTTGTAATCTTAAAGACCTACTATTGTTCATTAGATCAGACAATTTATACTGTATTCCATTAGCATTGATGAACACGATGTCTTTTTCACACTGGATTCTGGACACTATTACTACAACATTATGGTACAATTTGAACTTTCATTACTCAATTACTAATACAGTTATTTCACTCCCCGTTATAGAGAACAGGGGTGCTCCGATAGAGGTCTATGTGTCAGCCGTGTCGTCTCCGTCTCGTTTCTGGGTGCAATTTGTCGGACCTCAGGTGACGCAACTAGACTTGCTCGTCGAGGAAATGACGGAGTATTACGGCAAAAAGGAGAATCGCGAGAATCATGCTGTAAGTACTGCTAAAAATGCTTTTATGCAAAAATTGTTTAATAATTAATTCTAAAGTTATTTTATCATGTAATATTAGTACTGGTACTTAACTTAAAAACTTATATTAGAAATGTTGCTACTTTATTTAATTTGAGAATTTTAATGTAGAAAATCCCAACATTACCTTGTTTAATCTCCTATCTTACTACATTACAACCATTAGACTTTTGTTATTCACGGATGGGGCCCAACAGGGCTGATGCCGATTCAGAGTCGCGTAGAACCTAACGAGTTATCGGGGCTCCGGCTCGAAGTGCAGGAGTAGGAACGGGGTGGTTTTTAGTCAGTAAGAGACTGACACTCCCTTCCGCCTCACCCAGGCGGGAGCAGTCATTCGATGACTTTCCCCCCCTTAAAAAATAGTCCTTTGTCGTTAATATTTATAGCTGTCATAATGTTACTATGATCTTGTAATTTTATAAATATTGTAGATTCTTGTTTTTTAACAGACTTCAAAAAAGTAAAAAGGTTTTCAGTTTAAACTGTATGTATATTTGTTTGTGCGTGATTATCTCGCAATTGACTGAACCGATTTTGATGCCGTTTTCAATAAAAGCGTTTGTTATACTTGGAGAAGGTTTTAGTATATTAATTAACCGACTGTAAAAAACACTTTTTTTGAAGTCTCGAGGTGTTGGAGCCTGAAGTCGGTTTTATGAATGTAATGAATGAATATGTTGTATCCCCAGTTGTCGCACGTGTCGGTGGGGCAGGTGGTGGCGGCCGTGTTCCGCCACGACGGGCGCTGGTACCGCGCGCGCGTGCACGACGTACGCCCCAACGAGTACGACGCCACGCAACAGGTACTGCTACTGATACTATACTTATTATAATATAGCACGCAATATTTTAATCATCCACAGCTTATAAATGCCTTCTGCTGAGCACAGGCTTCTTCTCACACGGAGAACGTTATTAATAACCATGCTTGCTCAAGGCGGATTGGCGATTTCAAACTCATAATTAAGAATGAGTTCAGTTTTCTTCACGATGTTTTCCTTTACCTTGTGTCAGTGGCGTCTAAATTATATTAGAAAGTACTTACATAAAACTCGGAATTCACATTGATACTTGCTATGTTTCGAACACATGATGAGAAGGCCGGAAGCCCAATTACCCCTCCCCCTTTCCCAATCCTTGAGTCCCCAACAGTCTTCAAATTCCTAATCTCAAAAGGCCGGTGACGCACTTGTAACGCTTTTGGTGTTCCGGGTGTCCATTGGCGACGTCGATTGCTTACCATCAGGTGATCCGTCTGTTCGTTTACCGGCTTATCCCATAAAAAAACATTATGTATTAATATACATAATGTAGATTCATCTCATTTATCAGTGCCTGAAAAAATAGGGAACCATAGTGTGACCATCGCTAACATAATGAAAGAATAAGAGGTCTGATACTAACATACCATCACGTCTTTTATTCCCGAAGGTATAGGCAGAGGTGCACATTACGCCATTTAATACCACTGTACAATGTAAAATTGTGAAATACAATCCATTACGGAATGTGTTTATTAATACAGAAACTGGTACATGTTATCAGGTCGCTGACGTATTCTTCTTGGACTACGGAGACAGCGAGTACGTGTCAATATACGAGCTCTGTGAACTGCGCGCCGATCTGTTGCGGCTTCGGTTCCAGGTATGTGCATATCCTTTTCATTATTTATGTTGTATTATATTTGTGTTTAGTATTAAGGTGATGATGGACATGAGCATTCATTCACTTCTATCGTTGCCATGGGTTTTTAACTGTTAATTGTTGGTTCGGTGGAGCCGGCCAATCAGAGCGCCGAATGCGTACTCCTTTCGATTACTGTAAATGTAAAACAAACTTGTACTTATGGCCTTCTGTTCCGCGCGCACCTCAAAGTGCCATTAGACCACCACGGATGCGGCCCAATAGGGCTGATCTCGATACGGAGCCACCGAGGACTTAAGGGGTTACCGGGGCTCCGTCTCGAAGTGCAGGAGTAGGAACGGGGTGGTTTTTAGTCAGTAAGAGTCTGACACTCCCTTCCGCCTCACCCGGGCGGGAGAAGACATTTGATGATTTTTCCCCCTTAAAAAATGGCCCTCTGTTTAATTTAGTTTCTAGACAATAAATACTTTTCGTCCAATGTTTTTAGCAGAGGCGCCAGTCGCCTGTTTCAGAATACTGCAATTTTATTAAATAAATGAAAAATGTTACACAATGTTCCATTATGCGTTGTTCATTGAAAGCAATTTAGTGTATTGTAATTAATGTTTTAGTTAAAATATGAATATGTGGATGTTACAGGCAATGGAGTGTTTCCTAGCGGGCGTGCGTCCAAGGTCTGACGATGACATTTGGTCGCCGGAGGCCATCGAGCGGTTTGAAAACCTTGTCCATGTTAGTATACCTCTATATATTATTTATTTATTTATTTATTTATTTGTTCATGTACACACAGACAATACACAGAAAAAATATATATAATAACAAACAGGGGTACATAGGTACTGCATATCCCTTATGGGATTTCTTCCTGCAGCCCTGCGAAAGGAGAAATAAATACGACATATGACACAGTGTGTAACAATAAAAAACAAAAAAAAAAAAAACAAACAAGAAGAAGACAATGAAAACTTAAACTGATAATTAAAATTAGATTAACCAAAATAATACAATAAAAACATATAAAATAAATATAAATA